TTGGGATCCTTTCGGCTTGCAAAGGAGCGGAGCTCAGAAGGCTGTTCTTTCTCTGCCCCCAAACCTTTCTATTGAGATCTTGTTACCTGAGGACTTTATTTAGGAAAGACTTATCTCTCTTTCCGCTGTTCACCATATCGCTTATTTTCTTCTCAATGGCAAAAGCAAGTCCAAGACATGCAGCAGCCGTTTCTGTGGTGCTCCTGACCACCACCTGGGCCAGAGGGGCTCACCAGGGTTCGGAGTGACACCTGTTTCCTATAGCAAAACCAAGGGTGAGCTTTGCATGTTGATGCCTTTCCTTTCGCAGCAGTGGCAGCCCGAGGGGACTGGACAGACTGAGTAAGCACCAGTGCATGCACTGGCTCTCTACTGGAGTCAACTGACTAGTTTCCTCTGAAACAAACCCTGGGTGCACTTCTAGGGGCAGGTAGGATGCACCAGGTCTGTCTCCCTCCACCCTATGCAGTCCTTCAGCACTGTCGTGGCAGACCTGGCCCCTGGATCCTCTAATGGCCCACGGCAGGGCGCGCACGCAGCCCACTGCTGCTCCGAGATCACCTGGCATTTCAGAGGCTTCGAACTGAGACGAAAACCGCGTCAAGCCTGATGGTTGTGCTCTGGGCAGCAGGGAAAGGCAGGAGCACAGGGAAAGGTGGGCTGGGCTGGCCCCGGCTGGCGGCGAGCGGGTTTTTTCGCAGCACCCTCCACCGGGGCTTCGCAGGTGCCCGCTGGTGCCAGGGTGTTTGTCTGAACCCGTGTCCTAAACTGCAACGCTGGGGGTTGCAGCGTGACAGTACATGCTCTGGGAGCGGGCGGGTGTTACCATGAAGGTGACCTAACTGTGAGCCACTGCCAAGAGCAGGGTGACCCCTTCCTCAGGCTGGCCCTGGCACCAGCTGCCCTGATGGGGGGCTGCTGCTGCTCACTCAGAACCTCTGCTGGGGTCGTTCTTCGGACAATCCAGTGATCTGAACCAGCTCTCTGCAAGGCAGAAACATCAGCACAAGAGAGGGGGCAGGACCGCGGAGCAGGAGCCTTGAGATGCAAGGCAAGAAGTGGTACCATGCATCTGGTTAGATCAGCTTACGTGTGTCAAACCCCCCTCCAGGCTCCACCTTTCTACTACTGCATTCAGGGATATTTATTTACTGCTCCAATTTTGCCTAAGTAAAGGATGCTTAGCTAAGAAGCTACCACTTTTAGGAATGCACGCAGACTGTGCATTCGCATACATGAATGCTTTTTGGCATATTGCTACAGTACTGCTTGTTTAGCTCGCAGGCCAGATGACCTTGCTTGTTCTCAGCCAACTGCTCTGTTTCCCTGAGGATTTACGTTCCAGCAGCCACTGTTGAGTTTGATTTTTTTTTCCCCATCCAAGCATTCCTTTTCATTATGCAGCTGAAAATGCAGTGCCAGAGGGATGCTTGGGGCATGCTCTGTGTATTCCGTGCCACGCAAAGAAAAAGGCTTTTTGTACATTTCATTTGGGTAGGTCACCATGTTGTCTCTGCGGCTGCCAGCAGCCTTCAGAAATGTCGTGTTTACCCAGATAAAAAATGGGTTAAACCACTTCTAGGAAACATTGCATCCTTTGGAGCCCTGTAATATCTGCACATGTCCAAGCTCTGTAATACCCAGCTCCTCAAAAGTGAGTATGTAAAACCACCTCAAGTACCATAAAATCACTTACAAGCCTATTTTCTGAAAGGTCAAGGCAGGAGAAAGGGTTTTCCAGCACTTGTTTGGAGTGGTTTGCATCACCCCGGCTTTGCCACGCATGAGCAGTGGCAGCAGGACGCTTACCCTGCACGCCGGGTGTTTTGGCCATGCGAGTGTGCACGCTCTCGTACACGTATTTCTGTGCGTTCAACCAACGCCCTCTTAGTCACTGGAATTTTTCTTGAAGCAAGACCTCTCTGCCTTCACCGCACGTTTCAGCCAGCTCCGGTTGTTCACTGAGACAATACTACACCTCCCAGCCTGCCCAGCTGCCAGCCACTGACGCGTTCAGCACAGGCGGGATGGCGGGATGGCCTTGACCTCCTGCCAGCGTAAGATGAACGATGGGTTGGGTTTGGGCCGTCCCCGGGCTGGCTGAGAGCAGCAAGCCGACACCAGCCACAGACACTGCCAGCTTCACAGCGGCTGGGAACCGAGACACCACTGGCATTGAGAAAATAAACATCTCCCATTGACAGAGGGTTCATGTCAGCGCAATGCGTTTCTTAGAGCAGCCTTAGTTCCCTGCTTGGGCAGCTGTCAGGAATTAGGTGGAGGAAGGTGGCCAATATATTAAAGTGCTTAAAGACAGGAAGAGGAGTGAGGCCCTCACATCCATCTATTGTAAAGTTGCCACTTTAGCATCCTGAGCCCATGGGTGTTAAATGGACCGTGCTTAGCTGAGTCATGGAAAAGAAGAGCAAAAACAAGCACGAGGAGCCTTGTCCCAGCCGAGGTGCCCTTGGGGATTAGCAGAAACAACTGCAAATCCTTCAGAGCCACACGTTCCTCCTCCCCCTTGCCAAGGGCTCGTTTCTTACAGTTATTGTCTTCTACCTCGGTTTAGTGCTTTCTGTCTCTCACTTGTCCAGCCTGGTGTTGAGGATCAGGCTGATCAATACAGTGTTAATAAATCATATTGGCGGTGTTCATCGAAGGAGTTAAGGGTTATTTGTTTCCTCGAAGGCATATGGAGGGTTAGGTGTGGGAGATGATTGACCACTGACTCAACCAAGCAGGACACACTTCAGCAAATGTCTGCAGGGGCTGGGGACACCTCAGGTACTTTCATTAGGCATGATTTAGCACAAGGACCTTGAATCCTCCTTCACCCTCTAAAATACAAAGAAGAAGGGAACATAAAATACAGACCCAAAGAGTGTCCGTTTCTGCTTGCTGCCTGTCCACGTGAAGCGTTTCAGTTCTTCTGGAGCCAGCACCATCCCACTGTCTGCTTGATAATCCTTGAAGAACAGAGAAAGATGCAATCACGTTAGGTGTTAACTGTAGAAAGTTATTTTACAATGGACTCAATTCCTCTTTGGTCTGATTTTCAGCACCCATTTGGTCCTTTATATTTGAAGAACTCTAGGAGACAGCGGCTCAGTGCTGCTGGAGGTGCTGCAGTGCCCAGGTATTTAGTGGTGCCTTTCCAAACTGTCCTTGCTTTGAGGTGCAGCAAACACATGCTGTTAGTGTACATACAGAGTGCTAAAAGAAAAGCATCTACACGCAAGGTGAGGTTCTGGCCAGCTGCTAGTTCAACCCTGTGAGCACCGCCATGCCCTTCCCTACCTCCTACTGCTTAACGTGTACAACTGGGTCACCGAAAGCTTCCCCCAACCTCTCCCCCATGCCCACCTCCACCAGGACAGTATGTGTGTCCTGTTAGAAGGCATTTCCCCAGCTTGTCCACCTGGTAACAGGAAAACACAAATCCAAGGGATTTTAAGTGGCTCTCTCACACCAATGGAACTCACGTGGGACTCTGGCAGCGGTACTTTGCAAGCCTACCGGCACTGGCCATTTCTTATCAGGGAAGGAGTGCTTGCCACTCATGGCATGGTCAGCAAGGATCTGCTGACCTCAATTTGTAGGACAGTGGAATAATACCATGCTGCAAGCACAGCTCATCTTGCACCTCGCATCAGTAGAGCTGACAAAGCAGTAAACCCCCATCTTGATTCTCTCCGTATAAATCTGTCACACAAATAAAAAGAAATAAATGGCGTACCATTTAGCCCAAGAGTCACTTACATTAAATACAAGCGTTTTCTTGATGGGAAGCTCTTCAAATGTCTTTATGCTCCGTGCTGGTTTTATTTTGAAAGTGTTAATGTATCTGTTCAACAAGAAAAGCAGGACAATTTTTTGTGACAGCGTGAAGGGCGTAAGCAGGAGGCGCTGGGTATTTCTCTGTTTCTTTAAGCTGTTGCCTAACTGTCATCCAGGTAGTTTACACAAAAGACACTTGTGAACCGGACTCCACTCAAACCTGGCTCCCCAGCCCTGGGGCGCACACAACTGCCCCCCTCACTGTGCCCGAGCCCAGCGACCTGATGGTTCCCCCAGGCAGGGACATCCCAGTGGACTCTCCCAGCCCAACGAGATCCTGGCGGTGGTGGCTGGTGGGACACTTAAAGCTACATGGGGAGTCTCTGGGTGTTTTCTCCCACCTGGGTCCAAGCCAAGCTATGCAACAAGCTGCAATGCCCAACCAACTCAGTCTTCCTCTTGCTTATCTCACCTGACGTTTTCAGTGCTTCCACAATTTGAGCTTGTAACAGAAAAATTTTCATTGCACAAAGGATCAGATGCAGGAGGAAACCCACTTTCTGTTGTAAATATAGTATTGAGGGGTATGTAGTCTTTGCCTTCCTACATGCAAACAAGAAATCAAAGTGTTATTCCTGGGACCATGCAGCTGATCACCCTTGCCTCGGTAACAGCACCTGTCATGACATTAATACCTGCTGGACATTTGCTTGCAGCAGGTCGCCCAGCTTTTTCACCAGCTCGGAGAACCTTGGTCTGTCGTTGGGATTGCTTCTCCAGCAGTCCAGCATGATTTGGTAACTGTGAGGACAATAGCAAAATAAGCACATGGTGGGGTTACAGCTCAGTTTGATCCAAGGCAGCGCAGTCTCTGACAGCTTGTCAACAACCGAATTAACTCCCAAGCCCTCCTCATTTTACAAAGATGCTCTCCAACACCGAGGCCTCTTAGTAAAAGCAAAAGAGTAAACTTCCCACAAAAAAAAGAAAAAAGCTTTCTTCCCTCAAGGCACCAGGAAGACCACATGAAAAGAATAATTCAGTCAACTAGTCATACTTTATTTTCTTATTCCTAATTAAGCATCAAACTTTTGTGTTAAACATCTATTCACTGGCGATGTTTAAGTTAAGGCATCCTAAGATGACTTATATGAATGTGTCACTTCCTCATGCTGGTTGAGTTGAGCTTTCCTTCCTGCGATAAAATATGTGGAAGAGAGAAAAAAAAAAGCACTCTTATCTGCTGTCACTAGGATAATAAAATTAGCCAATGGGTAATACTCTCAGATAGGCATGGCTGGCTCGCATCCTTTTTCTTCTTCCAGAACTATTTTTTGTAAATGTTGCTATTTAGACTCATGACGTAGCACTCAGAAAGGTACCAAAGACACCTACACGTACTTCATTTTGCCTCCAGAGGTAAAATGCCCTGGGTATGTTCATGCTCCTGAATGATTTGTGACATGGGGTGTGTGTTTGGCATGCTGCAGGTGCCTCCCCACGTAGGGCACTCCGTCCCGCTCCCAGGGCTGCAAACTCAGGGTCTTGCTTGGATCCCCCCAGGCCTCCAAAATGGTGTTGGCCATGGAACGGCGGCTGGAGGCTGCACCTGAAGGCAGGGGACCGGGGAGGGCAGCCAATGTCACGCTGGAAGGGCTCAGACAAACACCGCAGATGACATGGGTTGGGAGGCTGCAGGTCCCCGTCACCTTCCTCTGCCATCAGACACCGTCTCCGGGAAAGGGTGGACCCTTGTCACTGAGTGTTTGTGAGGAAGCCTCTGCTCTCACTTCCTAAGTCAAGACGATGTTAATAATGTCACATTCCTCCAGCACTTATCTGTGTGCATGCCGGTTAATACTAAACCTGGAGAGGAATGAATGACCTTCCTCCTCTGGGCTGCTCATCCCAGTCCCTTCGGAGCCCAACCTTGGTGGTGCCCTGGGCTTGGGTCCATGTCCGTCCTCACCCTCTCCTACCCCACAGGAGGGTTAGGGGGCCAAGGTGGAGTGGGAATGCAAAAAGATGCTGATGACAGCAAGAAGATACAAGGCAGCATCAGGTTGTTTTTCCTTATGTTGCCACAGGGTACTTTTTGCAGAGACTGGTACATCATGTGCATGGCAGCCCAGGAGGGCAGCGATACTCAACGCAAGTAGAAAAAAGACATCTTACATCTCCTCGGTCGCTTGCTCTGGGGCTCGCATTCTTGTGCCTTCCTTTAGTCTGCTGCAGAAATCCTCGTCTATTTGGACCCCAGGGTAAGGAGAAGCACCTGGGGACAACATTGGGAGAATAGGGTCACACATCTCCTGAGCTGGGCACCTATGACCTAGCCTTGGCTCTACACATCCCCACTGAACATTCGGGGTGTGCAGCATCTGGGATCAGCATCAGCTGGGAGCTTGGGAGTGTTCTGGCTCCTGCCAGCTCACATGGGCAGGGAACTGCTGCTGACAGTGCTCCAAGCCCCCATCCTTGGAGGTGAGCAGAATGAAACCTGGTGCTATTGGTGGTGCTTGCCTGGCCTGCACGCAAAAAATACACACAAATTTGACTTGAGAAAAATCCCTCAAGAAGAGCCAAGTCTGATCTCTCTATGCTTTGGACCACTCCAAATTCCAGTAAGCAGAGTATTAACAAACCTCAAATGTTCAAAGCCACCTTGAAAATAATTTAATGGTTTTAAATCAGATCGCAGTATGTTTGCATTATTTGTCGGTTTCTGTGGTTTTACGATGCAGCCTGATCGTGCTGTTGGCCTTTTTTGTGTAGATAAGAAAATATCAGGAAAAGGGAAAACGAAAGAAGAAAACAAACCACCTCTCTGAGAGTCAGACAGTCGCCAGGTTCAAGGAGCTGGGGCTTTAAGAAAAAAATAGCAGGTATTATGAGGCTGACCATAAAATTACAAGAGTTGGCAGGCTGACCAACAACACGTATTTAAACTAATAAATGATTGATTGTCCTGAGAATTGTATAGTATTGTTTCCTCTGCTGTTCGCCTCCTTTGTCAGCCTCGATGTTGAACCCAATTAAGATTCTTCTGTTCTGACAGTCATTGTTGCTCCTGCTCAGCGTACATCTCGTATCCTGCCTTTACCACGTGAAAGAAAGGCGGGGGGGGAAGCTTTGCTGGGTTTTAATTTCGGATTGCATGCTCTAGTTCATTCTGCGGCATCTGTGTGGATGCTTGTTTGCATGCCATGGCCAGCGGCGTGGTTGAAGGGGGGATGCTGAGTCCCTCCCCGGCTGTGGTGACCCCCTGATTTAAGTCTTTCCTTATTAATGACCTGGTGAAAGCTCGTTGGAGGTAATGGGTGTTTTTCCCCAGGCTGAAGCCCCCGCTACAGAGTCCAGCTCCCGATGTGCAGAGTTAACATACCCAAGGAAAATATCTCCCACAGCAAGACCCCGTAGGACCACACGTCACTTTTTGTATTGTAGATTTTATCAAATATGGATTCTGGAGCCATCCACTTGAGAGGAAGTCGAGCCTGGAGTAAAAGGGACAAACCTGACTATTATTTTCAAAGCCTGAAAGAATTTAATCGTAGATTGATCAAGTATATATTGTTATGTAAATAATTACCATTGAAACAGGAACCTGTGGGATTTCCTTACAGGCAGTCAAGATAAACCCACGCTCATTCAGACACTTTCTTAACAAATTGTCAGAGTGAAAGGCTGTTTTTAAAATACCTGTGGCACAAAACACCAGAGGCTGGAAACCTGTGACCAGAGTGACCAAGCCTTTTCTTTACGGGGATGTGGGGATAAGCAAGAACAGGGATCTCTTGCCAGCATCCTATGAGACGGGAGAAAACCTTATGTCCAAGCGCAAATCATTCTGTGATGGTGTCAGAGATGTTCTTGGGGAAATTTTCAGAGCCTGTATTGCAGGAGAGTGTCAGCAACCCCTGAAGCCACCTAATCGCAGCCGGTGAGTGTCCTCTGAGCAGTCCCCAAGTTAGGCAAACAACACTTCAAAGCTAAAACATAGTTCTGCAAGTCTTGAAAGCTATTTACGGAGGAGGGGATAGCTGGCAGGTGGGTGAGCCCTCCAGAAGGACACTCTCTGTGTGACCCCAACACCCACATCAAATTCCCATGGCATCAGTGGGCGCAGGCATGGTTTGCTGACCCAGCGCTCATGGCAAGCCTGCCAGGGAGCTACCTGCCTGCTATTTACAGGAGAGGCGAAATAAGAAGAGTAGGTGTTGGAGGCGGCGAGTCCAGCAGTGCTTGGCCCTGGTGTGGGTGCACTGGGGGACATGCGCCTTGTTTCGGAGGGATTGGCTTCCTTGAAGGAAGTTTACTGAGTAAGTGGGTTACGCTGCAGCGCCAGCCAAGAAACAAATGTCTGAAAAACATCTAAAGTATTAACAGGGCAAAGCTGCGAAACAGTTAGTGTGTCCAAGCCTTATACTTGAGGACAGAAATGCTTTCCAGATACACAATGCATCTGGATAGCTCATCTTCACATAAAAACCATGATAGCTCCCAAGCTCCTTCTTTTAAGTTCAGGAAATGTGAACGTCTACAGAACATCTTGGTGGACAGTTTGAAGTGGTATGTTATAAACATTTGAGTAAATAAACAGCATCTTGACTTACATCTCCTTTTCTCACATAATCAGGGTTCTTATAAATATCTCTTGCGAGGCCAAAATCACAGATCTTCACGACATTGTTCTCAGATAAAAGAATGTTTCTGGCTGCCAGGTCACGATGAATGCACTATAATAAAACAGTTTCACAATCAAACTGCATTTCCTTAATCCTGCCCACAAATTTCCTGACTGTCTCCCATATCCTTTTTTAAATTATTATTTGAGAGATCAATTTAATATTATTTTAGGGAAGTGGACTATAGTTTACATGAAGTTATTGTAAACAGTGGCAGTTCTTTAAGAAAAAAATAATTCTGAAGTCCAGAAAGCGATAAATTTTTAAGATCCTTGACATTTTAAAGCGCTGATTCATTTGGAGCTCCCTACCTAGTACATGTTGAAATGAAGAAAAAAAACCTCACCGCACCCAAAAGATCTTCGCTGAATGAATGAGCTTGACCCACCGCCTTCAGCCATGATCCTGTGTTTATGGACTATGGAGACTTGGATAAACACAGTTATATTTATAACGCCAAGAGGAAAAAGGCTCTTCCTTTGGGACCTGTCCCAAGGAAGGTGTCACTAAAACGCAGACGTGATTTCGCCTCTGAATCCCATCCTTCTGCAGGGAAAAATCCCCAGTGCAAAACTCACCTTTCTGGAGGAGAGGAACTCCATGCCTCTGGCCACCTGAAAGCTGTAAGAGATCAGGTCCTCCATTGTGAGGGGCAACTTGTACAGCTCATCAGCATCTGCAAAGGTGGAAAATGCTGTTTGTTACAAAGATCGCTCACAAGGCAGTTATTCCCCCCTGCCTCTTACTGACCCTTTTACTCCCATAAATTCAGATTTCACAGAGTAGTATTTGAAGGTCAACTCGCTGTCACTGGAAACAAAAATAATGCTTGCTTTATACCCCACGCTTTGGACACTGCTGTATTTTCCCCAAAGATAAGGAGCGGTCAGAAGAAACAATCACACATTTTCCTGTCAGATTTAGTAACCCTGGAAATAATCTTTTTTTAAATCTTCTACCCTCTGGACATGACCCTGTGAGCGTCTCCCACGGATGTTTATTAGGGTGATAAATGAGGAAAAAAATTTCAGGGATGCACAGTATGTTGTAAAAATATCACAGAACGTGTAGGGACAGGAAGGAATTAATACCTACCCTCCTCGTCCTCCTCCACATCGCTCAGACTTTTATCTTCCTGGAACCCGGAGCTCGCGAAGCTCTCGCTGCTGGTGACACTGGCCAGCCTTTGTTTTTTGCCTTCCACCAGCTCAATATCCTTTTTCTCTTTCAATGGCTCTCCTTGCAGAGAGGAGTCCTTCAAACAAACAGAGGAGAAGAGGTGTTACATCAGAGCGATGCAGGGTGTGGGAGAGGAACCAAGTTAGACTTCTGTCGCCTTTCCAAAGGCAGAAAATGCTGGTCCATGGCATGTGCGGTCACGTCTCCCACTGGCGTGGGTGTCCACTGCCCCCGTGGCAGGCGGGGGCTGGTGGCAGGGCTGCGCTCCACCAAGGTTGCCATCCCCAGAGAGCAGAAACATGATGGCCTGAGAGCACCAGCACATGATTTTGAGGCACCCTGGCTGGTGGTCTACTGCTGATGAGATTAAGATTTCCAGGGTCCATGGATGGACACATATGCTGGGCTGTGGCTCATCTTGGCCTGAAACGAGACATCTGAAAGACCCTGTTTCTCTCTGGTAGCCAGAGAAGGAGCCTGGTGGGATGAGTTGAGAAGGATGTGCCCACAGTGCAGGTGCCCCAGCCCTCTCAAAATAAAGTGTCAGCTTTTTGTCTCGGGCTGTTTAAGGCACCTGCTTCTATGTCCCTGCACAGTGAGTGCTTGGTGCAGGGCTGTGAGCCCTTCCAACAGGGAGCAAGGACAGTTTGTGTTTGAAATAGAGCTGCTATTGGAAGCGACTGCCTCTCTACCCCAACATCTTTATCCAATATTTTAATGTCAATGACAGTTTAATGAGACACATGCAACACTACTTGGAAAACGCTTTCCCACAGCTACCTGGAGAGCAGCCTAGCTGCTTGGCCATGCTCTTGCCCCCTCTCCCCTTTCCTCTTGTCCTGCAATCATCACTCCCCCCTGTGCATGCTGATGCAGAGCCAGGCTTCCTCCATCCCTTCCACCCGGGTGCCCTTCCCAGGGGTGCACGAGAACTGAGTCTGGGCAGGCTCCTCACCAGGAGGGAATGTGGGTGACTTCCCCCAGGGTGGACCCTGCATGGCCATGTTCCCTGCTGAGCCTCCAATGCCACCAACTGCACATTGGAGGACACGGCTGCTGTGTTTTATGCAGAGTCCAACATGAACACCCTTGGGAACAGAGACTCAGCCAAAGCTCTCTGGAGAGGGAAGTCTTGCTGAGCATGGCCTCCTGCAAAAACCTCCTGAAAAAACCCTGAGATGCTGCTGAGCTTTTGGCACAGATGAGCAGGGGTTTTAAGGACTGCTCTTCTGGGTCCAGGCTCCTAAATCCCACTTCAGAGCCCTTAATCCTTTGGGGGATTTTGCTGAAAGTGCACAAGCAGGGATATAGTTGGCACATTTGGGTTCAGGTTTGTAATAAGAAACACACTGTGGATTTGATTCAGAGGGCTGTGGGATATGAGGACAAGTCTCTAATCTCTTTTCCTCTTGATAGCCCTTCTCCTCACACAATAGGAAGATTACTTGCAAATCTCTGAACATTAGGATGTCTTGGAATGTGAGCTTTAAATGGCATTATCCCAGTTGTGTTCCCAGTAGTACTGAAATCAGTGGGCAAAACCACTTCCTTCAGCTTCGCTGACACCAGTCTCTGCAGTGACCCCAAGCTCAGTAGGAATGGGTTGGTCAGCAGCAGGGTGAGAGCACATGGGGACTCTTTGGATAGGATTCACTTCCTCTCGCTGTCGATGGCTCCATCGGAATCACTCATGGCAGTCTCCTTGCACAGCCAGGGGAGAGAAATGAGCCCTTTCTTGGCGCAGCATATCCCACGCCAAATATTAAAATAGGTCAGGTGAATTGCACCCAAAAGCTGTTTCTCTGCTTTGGTAGAAGAGAGTCTAAGGAGAGTAGCTGGGAGACCAATATCTATATTACTGACACTAACGTTAGGTAAGATGAACCCTACCAGAGGCATCTACCTCCTCACCTTGTTGGGGCAGAAAAAATTCCTCTTGCTCTTCAGGTAGTTTGATAAATTTCCATATTTGCAGTATTCAACAATCACCATCAGAGGCCCTGGGCAAAAGGAAAGTGCATTTTGAGCCACATAAAGCAACACAAAGGGTCATTGGTACTCAGAAGAAGAATAGTTTTTCATGCCCATAGCTATAATTTGAGTCCAGAATTACTAACTGTATGTCCTAATGAAGTAGAAAGCTGCTTGAAGGACATGGGACATATTAGCAAAACAACACTGTTGCTGGAAATTAGGGAAGGGCCTCATTTTTGAAAGCTGGATCATGAACCTGGGTCCTGAGGGACCCTCCATTTCCTCTTTGGGCAGTCTGTGTTCAGACTGGAGTCCCACAGCCCACACACACTTGTTGAACTAAAATAGGTGACATATCTAAACCAAACAATCACTCATACTGGCCCTTTGATTTTCTTAGTGGAATATCGTGAAGGATTTACAATGGTTGCCTTCTGGTTCGCTGTTCAGGGCCAACAGCCAACATCTCTTTTTCCCAGCCCTTCCAGATCATGTTTAACCTGAGCTTGAGCAGTGAAGTAAGTGAGATAAAGGACAACAAGTGGCATGGTCCTAAATTCACATTTCTTATGTTAATACTAAAAGAAAGTTTAAATAGAGAAAATGTTTAATCACTTCATTAAATGACTAAAAATCTCTTTTTATCTTCCTCTTTTTTTCACTGACCACAGGGCAAGCTCAAATATTTCAATAACTTGACCTCTGGATGAAAAACAACGTGGCCAACTGACTGTTACTGGGAGGTGATCCAAACCCGTTTTCAGTGCAGTGGAGATTTTTTTACCTCCATTTTTCGTGCAAGCTCCCAACAAATTCACAATATTGAGATGATGACCAATGTGAATCAGGATTTTCAGCTCAGTCATCAGCGCTTTGTACTCGCTTGCTGTGGCTCCTTCTGTAAATGCAAAGTAAAGTCAACGTGAAAGGGCAAAAAAATGGTCCTGCTGAGCTTTACCATTTCTTGTCACTTTCCATTGAAATAACCTCCATTACTGGATGTACTTCATGTGTTGATGTTCTTTTTCTATTCCTCCCTGCTCAGCATCCTCTTACTTGCAGTAAAACCCATAAAAATGTTAGGCACTCAACTTCCTCCCAGCAGACTCTTTTATATTTAGAACTGAGAGAAATTTTTTTCACATGAATAGTTTTGTTGTTTCAGCCAAAAAAAATGAAAGAAAAAATAAAAAGGGATTTCAAGGCTATAATTAACTCTATCTCAAGTAGGTTTCAGTTGACCTGACTTCAGCTGTGTAAGGGTTATGTACTAGCCTGAACTAATCAACATCTCAAGGAGCCAGTGGCAAGAGCAAAGCATTTCCAGAGGCTGATGCAGCCATCAGCTCTAGCCATCTGTATAGGGAAGAGATGAACCACCCTTTGGTGATGCTTGACTGGTTCTGTTCATTATAGAGGAAGTCTGGATTATTAAGGCAGACCAGGGAAGTAAATTTTAAATGGTTAAAGTTAGGTGACTGCATCATAATATCAATAGTAATAGAAATGATATAAGAAATCCCACAACTAAACCCAAACAATTCTATTTAGTGTTGAGTGAAACTTTTCATTCCCTCTGAGAAAATTTTTTCTGCAGAATTTTGTTTTAGTAAGAAAACAAGAAAAAACACATTTCTTTGTGTAGATTCAAAAAGGACTTTTTCAGTTTAGTGACACCAAGAGCAAGAACAGCCCAGTGGAAAGAACCTAGAGCTAGGTCTTAACAGGCTTGGTTTCAACATCTGAATGGAAATAGATTTTCTTGGTGGCACCACACAAAACTTGTCCATCTGCCCAGTGACTCACTATTCATCTGTATAGGTGGTGACACTTTCCCTCCACCTCATGGGAATTCTGCAAGGACAAAACCCGTGAATGTCTGCAAAGTTCCTGGATAATCTAGTGAGGATGCAAGGAATGGGCCAGATCTCCCCTAACTTTAGATGCCCATTGTGAAGATGCCTGCAGAGAACCTAGCTGTCACAGGCTCTCTTCATCGTCAACAATGCTAAACGAGTGCTCAGCTCACCATATGCAGGGATCTGCCTTAGGATGGGATGAACTGTTGTTTCTCACTGCTGACAATAAAGGGAATTTGAGTGACTAACTCAGATGATACAAGCATCTACCCGGCACATGCACACATGAATCCCACCATGAAGACTTCTTATAGCTGCCATCTGCTCCCATCTATTCCAGGAGCAGCCCCTGCTGCCTTGATGGTGCTGACTGGCACAAGAAGCCTGCTGATGTACATAAAGAAATGCTGAATCTAGCGGACCACTCTGTCAGTACATATGTCTGCATGTTGGCAAACCAGCTCAGTTAACCAGGGGTCAGGTGGTGACCCAGGTGACAGGCCTTCCACTGAAACCAGTGACACAGATGGCTATTGGCCCACTGCTGCAGAAGGTCTGGACAGGGACCAAAGCTTTAGTTTCCTCCCATTTTCAAGACGTACTTGCTGCAGGGTAGTTGTTCATTTGGTCTTGGCCAACAGAATGTTTCTGTGCTACTGCAACAAGAGAGAGGAGAAAGGTTCATAACCCTCTCAGCTGCAAAGTCCCTCCTTGGGGATTATCCTGGATATCGCAGTAGCATGTACCAGCCCTGCTAAAGCATATGACATTATATTGCAAAACAAGCCTCTTGAGGACAATATCAAGAGGGAACACCCTACATGGAGTACAGCTACCAGGTCATTGCTGGCAATAAACAGTCTTCAGATCAAACTGTTTCAGGTTGAGTGTTGCAGGGACAGGCTATAGGTCTGAGACTATTGTACATGCCCCTCCAAGGGCTGGAAGTAACATGTACAGATGTCCTGATAACTGATAAGCAAGTAAGCAGCTGTGAAGGTAAGGAGCCACTGGGTAAGAGGGATGTATTCAAACGATGCCTGAACAGAGCCAACTGAGAACATCAGGGATCCAATCCTTACTGGTGGAACAGACGATGTGTCCCAGCAGAAAATGATGCTGAAAAGGATTCAAGGATTAAGACAGATAAGCAATGCAGCACAAGCTCCCAGGGCAATGCAAAATAAAGACCCCAAACCTGATATGATCCTTAGATATATAAACAAGGTGAAGCTAAGTACATAGGAAGGGATGCCACCGGGAGTCTGGGCTAGGGAATTCAGCCCCAGCTGCTGCAGACTATGACTGAATATCACCCTGCCTGCTAACTTCCCAAGTGTTCTCTTCAAATTGCTGAGAGTCTTTGTCATTTCTGCTCCAATGAGAAAAGTGGTGGTGAATAGCCGGGGGATGATTTCACTTTGGGAGGAGCGCTGGTGTGTGAAGAGCGCTGGCAAATCCCTTACCCAACCCCAGCGTCAGCATCCTGAGCACCGTGCAATCAGGCTGCAGACGGTTCAGTGAGGATGCACCTGTACAACAGCTCCAAGATTTAAACAGCTTAACCTGTTTAGCTTAATAAAAGGGCCTTCACAAAGAGAAATCATTATATTACCCCATGGAGAAGGTTAGAACGAGAAGCGAAAGTCAGACAGATGCAAATTAGACATAAGGCACCTGTTTTTCGCAATGAGATGATTAATCATTGGAACTAACGACCAAGGAAAATACGAACACTTCCATCCAAGTGTCTTCATCCCAAGGTGGACACCCTATGCTTCAGCTAAATTTCATTTACAGTGTTCAGTACAGGGTCAGTCTAGCATAATGGCACAACGTGGAGTACACAGGAAATCTAATTGCCTCTTCTGATCCTACAAAAGTGACTGTTTCATTCTTTCTGGCATTTGAATTAGTGGAACCAGATTTAAAAAATAAATAAATTAGGCTATCAGGTTCTCACTGCATCTGAAACTTTCTCCTATGTCATGTGACAATTCATCATTCTTTTTACCGTAAATGTGATTTTTATTTCATAGTTCTGTCATTTCCCTTGTGGTGGACCTGAAACTTGGTGTACACATTTTGGAGGCTTCAGAGAGTTATTGGTGGAGGGGATAACATCACACACTCTTGTTTTCAACAGAATCATATTAAAAGTGGGACACAATATAAGGCATCATTTTTTCCAGACCAGCTTTGCAGCAAGATACCTTTCAGCATTTTCACAGCAACTATTCTGCACGTTGGTGATTTCTTAATTCCAAAAGCAGATGCTTGTACCACCTTTCCAAAAGCTCCGTGTCCAAGAGACTTTCCTGTAAAGAAAATAAATTGGAGAGGTACGTTCGGGTAAAAAAGAAATCTTGTCAGCAAATGGCTTCATGCATAATGAATCGACAAATGTGCTTTACAATGAGTCCCACGTGTGTATTTCCAACATATAGGTGTTCGGGATGTTTTGTGTTTGGGTATGTGTTTGGTTTTTTTTTTATTCTGAAAAGTAAGCAGGCAAACTAGAAGACAGAGTCATCAGAGGGAATAAGTGATATGATTGAAACCAATGTTAAACAAATGCAGCCATTCAGCAGAGGTACGCTGGCTCCTGACCCAATTTTTCTCTGCCAGAGAAAGATTTGCTCCTCTTTTCCCTGAGCACACTGCACCAGGCGGCAGGCTGTGACGCTGCTACTTATGTCCTCAACAACGCAGAGCCTCCACCTAAATTCACACAGACATTGAGATGCAGCTTGTCACGGGCTTGGGCAATTTTTACAAATGAAATTCTTCCTTCTCAAACAAAGTGCCTTAAAATTACCTTCATTCTAGGGAGGTGGCGGCAACTTTGCATCGCAGCCCCTGGGCCACACACACCACCCCCTGATGCTTTTCCCTCGCAAGTCCTTGTAGGCTGAGATCATGGAGTGGTGAGAAGCTGCAAATTTGTGCAAATGAGACCTTTACATTTACAAAATGATATTGGGGGGATTCAGTGAGAGAGGACTTGGAGTGGCAAATGACGGTTTTGCTCATGGTGGCTATAGCACTTCCAGATGTCCAAGGGCAGACATTTGTGTTGTGATGCCATCATCATACTGCCTCTGAGCAGAACCCAGGAGAAGCACCCAGAGGTCCTTGAGAGAAATCAGTGGGCATCAATAAAATTCTCCAGCAGTAGAAGATGAATGTCCTCTTCCTTCATATTCGGAACCAGGTAGGACTCCAAGGGTACTTGGAGTTACACCTTTTCTAGAGTTCATGACATTTTATGCCCATCTTATGAACTTCACATTCCCCTTCATGATTTATTACTGTTTGAAGCAGGGAGTATTGACTCCTTCTTTGACACCGCACTCACATGGACAGGCCTGGCTGCCTCTACCCTTCTCAAGTGGCTGGTGGGGTTTTGATCAGAGAGATCTTGCTAGGGTATCAGCTAGCAATAAATTTTATTTCCAAGTAACTACTTTCAGATTGTATTTGTGCTTCACCTTCAGCAGAACCCAGACACCTAAGTGGCTAGCAAGATTGTAACAGTAGGCTTTGCAGTGTAGAGGTCAAGAGCAGAAAATAAAGGCCAGCTTTTCATACAAAAGCAAAGGATAGACTCTTAGAATCACAGAACAGTTTGGGTTGGAAGAGACTTTAATGATCATCTAGTTCCAACTCTCCTGCCATGGACAGGGACACCTTCCACTAGACCAGGTTACTCAACATGTGTCATGTATTTATTTCTCTAATATGCACAGGTGACATAGCCATCTCCATACGGCAATTTCCTTTTTCTATGATGGGCATCTGTTTGACTAGCTGTCACTTAGAATCATAGAATCATAGAATCATAGAATGGTTAGGGACCTCAAAGATCATCTAGTTCCAACCCCCCTGCCATGGGCAGGGAAATCCTCCACTACACCAGGTTGCCCAAAGCCTCATCCAACCTGGCCTTGAACACCTCCAGCGATGGGGCATCTACAACTTCTCTGGGCAACCTGTTCCAGTACCTCACCACCCTCAATGTAAAGAATTTCTTTCTTATATCTAACCTAAATCTGCCCTCTTTCAGTTTAAATCCATTGCCCCTTGTCCTATCACTACACACCCTTGTAAAATGTCCCTCTCCAGCTTTCCTGTAGGCCCCCTTTAGGTACTGGAAAGCTGCTATAAGATCACCCCAGAGCCTTCTCTTCTCCAGGCTGAACAGCCCCAACTCTCTCAGCCTGTCTTCATAGGAGAGGTGCTCCAGCCCTCGGATCATCTTCGTGGCCTTTCTCTGGACTCGTTCCAGTAGCTCCATGTCCTTCTTATGTTGGGGACTCCAGAGCTGAACACAGTATTCCAGGTGGGGTCTCACGAGAGCTGAATAGAGGGGCAGAATCACTTCCCTCACCCTACTGGCCACACTTCTTTTGATGCAGCCCAGGATACGGTTGGCTTTCTGGGCTGCCAGTGCACATTGCTGGCTCATGTTGAGCTTCTTATCCACCAGCACTCCCAAGTCCTTTTCCTCAGGGCTGCTCTCAATCCATTCTCCACCCAGCCTGTACTTGTGCTTGGGATTGCCCCGACCCACGTGCAGGACCTTGCACTTGGCCTTGTTGAACTTCATGAGGTTCTCACAGGCCCATCTCTCCAGCCTGTCAAGGTCCCTCTGGATGGCATCCCTTCCCTCCAGCGTGTCCACAACACCACACAACTTGGTGTCATCTGCAAACTTGCTGAGGGTGCACTCAATCCTGCTGTCCATGTCTCTGACAAAGATGTTAAATAGCACCGGTCCCAGTACCGACCCCTGAGGAACACCACTCGTCACTGGCCTCCCACTTGGACATTGAACCGTTGACCACAACTCTTTGAGAGTGACCATCCAGCCAATTCCTTATCCACCAAGTGGTCCATCGATCAAAACCACGTCTTTCCAGTTTAGAGATAAGGATGTCGTGTGGGACTGTATCAAATGCTTTGGATATATAAACATACATACATCAACATCTACCTTGTTGATGTCTAAAGCTAAGTGAGAGATGAATCTCAGACACTCAAAGCTGCTGTCAGTTCTCAATTAAATTAAATAGATACTACCTTTTATATGTGTATCACGTCTCTAAACTGTAATTCTCAGTATGTCTGTCAGTAAAAGCAAACAGCATGTGTTATCATAGATTTCATAGATTTCATAGATTTCATAGATTTCTAGGTTGGAAAAGACCTTAGAGATCATCGAGTCCAACCATCCCTAATCCCCATTAAACCATATCCTCAAGTAGATCATCCACCCTATTCTTAAACACATCCAGGGATGGGGACTCAACCACCTCCCTGGGCAGCCTATTCCAGTGGCTGACAACCCTTTCAGAAAAGAAATACTTCCTAACATCCAACCTGGATCAAAGCAATGGAAACATGAAGTGGAATATGCTGTGCCAAAAATACCCGCAAAATTTACTTCTCCCCTAGATGTTCAAAAGTGTTGCATTTTTACAGTAAATAAAAATCATGAGGATCTTAACTTAATCTACATGACTGAAAAACATCAAGCCTTGGTATGTGAAAAGCTTAGAGTTTGACACACAAATACAGATGAATCAGTGTATAACTTTGAAAATCTACAGTCACCTTCCTTTTCAGTTACCGCATATAGCATATGTATAAGGGAAGGAATATTGAGACTAAGGTCCTAGTTTTCCTGGTGAATTGATGTTCTTAGTCCTTATTGTATTGACTGTTCATGGTTTCTACAAGATGAAGTTGCAGTTTGACATCCTGTAAAACCCATCGTACCTTTGTTTAATCCGTAGGTTTAATCTGTTTCCATCACTGTTAACTCACTTCCTACATCGAGATAACCTACTTAGTCACCACTTGGAAAACACACCAGGTAGCTCATAAAGCTACACAAAGCTGCTAACCTTTCATAAAGGAGAATGAGCACTGGAAACAACACTTCCTTCTCTAAACAACGATTGTGATTTAATGGGAAACTGTAATAACACTCGATGTATTAGTCTTTGTTGCTCCGCTATTGTTTGCACTGTGCTAAATGTTAGCGCAGAATAGGGCTGCCTTAACTTTTCAGCGTGTAGGTGGAACTCCACAGTTTAGTACATAGATTGTGTCTATTACTCTAACAGGTTGCTCTTGCAAAAGCCCCTTATGTAGACACACAAAGTAATTACAAAACTATTACATGGAGCAATGAAACAGAGGAATACTAAGATGCCCAACCATCTGAGCAGTCAACTTGTCACAGTCCTCAAGCAGCTACGCTGGCTATGTTTGGGGTAATGTTCACGTATGAAATGTTGCAGCATTTATATCCAGACCAAGGAAGCAAAATGCTCTGCTTAAATTTAGTGCACTTGACTTTGGTTTCCTGGGGCAATTCAGAACCCATTAAAGTGAACATACCCCTCAGCCAGGGCGTTTTGAATCAGGGGGTTTCCATTTCAGTCCCATTTTAGCAGGGCCCTTCAAGCACATGAGGTGCTGGACTGGGGTGTCAGTAAAAAGCACTTGCAGACACCACTGCCCGTGTCTGGGGGAAGGCAGAGGCCCAAAGGTGTGTTCATTTCTCCAGTCCTTTGCCACAGTTTGAGTCATCTGGGTTTTCCCCACGTGTGGCTGTCATATTTTCCATCATGTTACATACAACAGCTCCGCACAGGAAGGAGAACGGAAAGCGCTCAGCTGGGTGCCAGCGCTGTGGGCTCGCAGGGCACAGGAGGGATCGGGGCTCAGGAAGCCATCTACCACCGGTGTGTTTGACATCATAGCACTGGAGCCATGTGGCAATGCTCCCTCAGGGTGTCACACCACAGCATCAGCAGTGTGTGACCTCTCATAGATTAGGAAGGCCAAGCACAGCAGTAAGGTGAGAAGCGTGCGATAGCTCAACACTTATGCTGGACGGCGACGTTATCGCCGACCACGCTGATGGTGATTTATAGCACTGGTGTTTTTCTGCCTAATGAAAAGATGACATTTTGCTCTCAGTCAGACTAATCTAGACTGAATACTAATTAGCCTGACCTCAGTGGTGCCTGTGTGAAATTTCCTGTAGCATCTGTGGCTCTTACAGATGAAGGGGCAGTCCTGTTATATAAGTATTGCATCACAGCCGTGGGCTCTGTGTACGCATGTTGGAGGAACACAGAGCAGAGGAGATGTGGGCTGAGAGACTTATTTGCAAAAGTTACAATAAATATGTATCCTGGAGGATAAGTAGGTGGAAAGAGAAAAACAGACATATCTGATGCTGGAAGAGGTTGCACTTCTAAGCAAAAATATTTTTAAAAAACCATAGAAGCACATTTTGTGTTTGTGAGACACTAATCCTCAGAGACTGCCAAGGTTACTCAAAGACTGAGCCAACTGCCATGTAAGCAGGACTTGCACTGAGCTAATCTAGCATACTGCACATACCCAACTTCTCTGAATCTGGTTCTCATTCATTGTCAGCATTCTTTATTTGTTTACACCAGTCCTTCCACTTTTTAACTCATTCTCTGGTCATCATTCCTCACCTCCAGACTCCAAACACCAACCCTGCAAGACGTGGGTTTTTCCTTGGTGTTTACATTCCATTTCTGCTTGATTCTTTCTGTGGGATTTACACACAAATAAATCTTCACATAAACCAGCGGTCGCATCATCTTCACATCAGGCTCTTGGTCCATCATGGTAAGAAAACTATTTGAAGATTGAAGACGGTCCAGCACAACGTTATATTTCAGCATTCCCAGAATTGTGTATGACAATTATAAATTGCTAGCAATATATTTCAGCTGTGCTTACCCACATCTGGTCACCTTGTGACTTCCAGCAGGCGCATTAAGTGTGATCCTAATTGTATGCATGTTTTAGTCACCCTCTGTCCCTGATCCCCAGAAAAACAGAAGGAATCTGTTACAGCTCCTAGCTAAAATGCAAGGATTTTCTAGACCTTGCTGTAGGACAAATCTACTGCATGCCTGAAAGAACAAACAGCACTATAGCAACAGGCTGAGCTTATCGCTGATATTCTAAGGTTGATTCTCTTGCTAAAAATCTCTGTGATTTCTGGAGGGATTCCTCAACTTCGAAATCTGGTCCCTACTCTTCTGTCCTCTGTGTCAGTCCCACACTAGGCTAAGCAAGTAAAGAATGCTCCCAGACCTGTGCCTTTCACTGGGGCGTCTGTAGGTGAGCTCGCTGCAGGTTCAAAGTTTCCTTGGATATTTATTTATTTATCCACTGACTCTTGTGTCACATTCTTGCACTTTAAGGTGCACCGACAAGAATGCTTATAAATCTGCAAGACAAAGGGGAAACAGGGAGAGAAACAACAGTTTCACTCCTTGCACTGGAGTGAGGAGGAAGGGGAGAAACAGGGAGGGGTACAAGGTGGAATATGAGGACCCATTTCTGCATAGTTTTTTTTGCCAGATGAGCACATAACCAGGCTACAAGGGAAGAAAATTACAGTAAATGCTAAAGGTCAGGTTCCTGACTCTAGAGAGAGAAGCATCCAGGTCAGCGGTCTGATTTGGAAGCCCTTGGTTGCCCTGTTCTTATGTCATGTATTAAGTAAATCAGTCTGCAAAAAATAGAGCGCAGCATTCTTGTCTCTATTGTAGTTTTCTTACCTGGAGTCAAAATATACATATGGAAAATCAGATTGACACAGTCAGTCAGTCCTTAAAATTGTAAGTCAGTCATGGACCAGGGCATGTGGTATGGAATAGCTCACACCAAACCTGGCAGCATGTTGTGCTGTGAGTCTAAAACACACCCAGTTCCTCTTTACCTGTACAGGTACATCTTATTCAATCACTGCAAACTCAACATGAAGCGTGCCAGTATTACCTAGTTTAAGCCTTTCCCTTGCAATCTCCCACTTGCTGGCATCATAAGGCAGACGTTCACATTGCTCATCTAAGGGGACTTCGTCAGGATCCATTATGATTGACAGGTAATGGTTGGTCTTCATTTCGGAGGAATAAGGCTAGAAAACAAAAAATATGGCAAAATGTAAGAGAAGATAATGGTATCTGTCAGCATCTTCCTGTTCAGATGGAGGGTTTCAAGTTAATTCTGTCCACGGGGCATGGTTTAGTTAAGCTCCCTTTGGCTTTTTTTTAATATTGCAAGACATTTTATGTAAAAGAAACTCTGTCCTCTAGCTTTCCTCGTATGTGACACATCAGTTTCTACAATGAAATCCATGTAGATCTCTATTAACATACGGTGTAATAATAGAGGCCCTCCGCACAGCTGAGATAAATATTTTCAGCAAATGACTAACCATTGCTGATAAAAATAACTTTCCTTCATTATTGTGCAAAGAAGTGGCCATATGCAACAGATCGAGTTCAACTGCCAGTGTTTATTTTTTCCATATACCCGGCAAAGATGGGTCAGATGTGGTTAGAAGTTGTGCAAGACTAGTTGTCAGGAGACTAGACATTATACATTTCAGAAACTGTTTACAAATTTTCAGAATTTTTTATTTCTTTGGTATCATTTCTGACAAATTTACTCAAGTTACTTGAGTTTGGAAGAATTCATAAACACCTAGACTCAAATACATGATTTCAAATTAATTTCACAATAGTTCAGTTTCTACTGAACAAATGGATTATCCACTTAACATGAGAAATGTAAGGAAAGTTGAATTTAATCTTGAAGTTTTCTGCAGACCAGCCTTTTCCATTTTGAAACGTATTTTCCTTCAAAGAGCACCTAGATTGCTACTCTAAACCACTGGACTTTTCTTGACATGGAATTGCTTATATTTCTATAGAAAAAGTCTAGTGTTTGCTCTCATTTCCTGGCTACTAGTTGGAATTTATGGAAAATCTGTTGAATTAAGCCTCTTCGTGTTGTTTTTCCTAGCACATCGGCACATACCCAAAGACACAGACACATCTACACATTCTTTTGTTGTTGCTTTAACTGCCCCCTGTGACTTTCATCTTTCTTCCTCTACAGCGTGGATATATGTCCCAAATACATGCATTTCCAGGCATTTGTTTGAAAAGAATATTACTAGCTGTGTATGCTTTGTTAGAAAATTAACTAGACTGAAATGACAGTAGCCAATAGCTCCTGTTTTAGTTGCTTTTCACCATCCCAAATACACAGAAAGTCAGGCCTAAGAAGGATTACAGTGATGCTTGAGGAAAAGTCAGGTGGCATAAAGCCTGGCTCCAAATTTCCCACTGACCCTGGAAAGGACATGGATAAGTGGTCTATGGATAGAAACGGAAGTGTGTGTGGTGCTCCAAAAAGAGCATTTCTTGATAGAGATATGGGTGCCACACTGCTCCTACCAGTCAATTGAGAAGAGCTTCTAAGTGGACCCATCCCAGAAAAAGCAATAGGGCAGTGGGAAGGAGCAAAGAGCTTCCTATGTTTCTTTATTCAGATACACTGAATGCCAAATTTTTGGCACAATTAGAGATTTGAAACAAAATTTTGAATGATGAAGAATTGTTAAGTATGTCATTTGTCCCTATATGCATAACAGACAGGCTCTAAGAAAACACTCTTAGGGAGCATATAAGTTTTTTTTTTCATGGCAACATAATCTGTATATGAAATTTAATTTAGGGCTAATTTCAGATATAAATCGTTGAGAGTAAGGGTTAGTAATAGAAACGCAGACAAGACCGTAAAAATAGACCAACACTAGCTGGAAAGGCTTATCTGGAAAGAAGCCTTCAAATATCTAGTTAAAGTCCCTTGTTCTACAGCGATGATTATTTTTATTATCTTTTAACCATCTAAAATGAAAATGTCAAGTTTTGGTATCATAACAAATAATAATAAAAAAGTCTGCAACCCTTTGCTACTTTTAAAACTTGCATTTTTCCAAGGGTTTGCAGTCATGTTATGAATTGGTTCATCATTACTGGTGAGGAGTCAGAACCAGTCCCACTTGCTTTGTAATGTCTCTGTAGCTAAAAAGTTTCTCCACAGCTTCAGCTGACATCAGCTTTTCTCTCCTCTAAAACTCCCATGTGTTTCTTCTTATGAAACTCTGTGGCATTAAGAAGGCAGGCAGAGTGACTGCTTCCATACTGCCTTGGTTTGGAGGACTGGTCCTGCATTCATAGAATCATAGAACAGTTTGGGTTGGAAGGGACCTCAAAGATCATCTAGTTCCAACCCCCCTGCAATGGGCAGGGACACCCTCCACTACACCAGGTTGCTCAAAGCCTCATCCAACCTGGCCTTGAACACTTCCAGGAATGGGGCACCCAGAACTTCTCTGGGCAACCTGTTCCAGTGTCTCACCACTGCCAAAGTAAATAACTTCTTCCTTAGATGTAATCAAAATCTCCCCTCTTTCAATTTAAAGCCATTGTCCCTTGTCTTATGACCGTATACCCTTGTAAAAAGTCCCTCTCCAGCTTTCTTGTAGGCCCCCTTTAGGTACTGGAAGACTGCTATAAGACTATCCGGGAGCCTCCTCTTGTCCAGGCTGAACAACCCATCAATCAATAGAAGTTTTCAGCATAAAACCTAAAATACAGGCAGGCCTTAACGCAGATTGAGATAAAATGGTCTAGTGCGCTTCAGTCAACCTTTCACGATTGTCATGTTAGAACGTGTCCAGCCATGATGGTTGTGAGCTGATCCTCCATGACACCATGCTGTGGTACCTCTCTGGCTGGGCAAAGGAGGGCAGCTGGGGCTCAGCGCCGCTGTGGTGTAGGAATACGGGAGATGGGGTCAAACAGCCATTCCTCATCTCATGTCCTGCAGTGCACCCCATCATCCCAATACCTCCCTTCCCTCGAATCCATCTGCTCCTCCAAGTTTGTTTGAGGTCTTCCTGCACTGTGGAGGAACTGTATTTTCTGCTTATAAGAATTGCTGTGGTTGAACCTGCACGCACCATGCAAAGCAGATATGGTGCTGTCCGCCAAAAGGGGCTTTAAACCGTCATGGTCAGCCTTGAACAAGAAGGAGGGTAAGCTGCATGGGCAGTTAACATTATCATGCTGATACAGGGTCATCTGCTCTAGGGGCTGCACCACCAAAACTACTTCAGTAAAACATCACTTTGCACATGATGTAATTATACCAGACACTTTGTGCAAACCAGACTCCAGCACGCTCTGTCATTCCCACTCAGATCTTCAAAGACATTAAGATGCCAGACTCCCACAGCTTTTAAGAGAACGGGTAGGAGTCAGACACCCAAACGCTTGCGAGTCTCAGAGCCTTGACCCCACCCAGGCTTTGCTTCGTGGTTTACTCATACTTAGCCTTGCAAGTCACCATTCCCTGGGGACCCATCAGCATCCTGGTGACTGCACAGGGAACAAAGGTGAGCAATAAGTGAATAAGGTGGGGTTTTCTGGTAGACCTAGCAATGTCAGTGGCCTGGTAAAGATTTTCTACCATGAGCAAAGGGCTGGTAAGGAGAGGCAGATGCCACCAGGAAATCCCCATCTGTTCTTACCCTCTTCAGCTTGCGGATGAAGAGGGTCAACAGCAGCCAAAAGAGCGTTGCAGCCACGCAGGTACAGGTCAGGGTTATTAGCTCCAGGTTTGACCTCTCCGATGTGCCTGGGAAAATCAAGAGGCAAACATTTTAGAAAATAACCTGCAAAGCAGGGACATTTTGTGTTTCTTTGCTGTTAAAACAAAATACCAGGAAGGACCAGCTTCTTTTCAATGGGGTATTAATCCCTGTTTGGCCTGGCTCACAGAGCCTGGAAAAGAATGGTCTTCCCAGCAAAGCTGTTGAATTGAACACACCAAAATTGCATTTGATCCCTCCGTAAGCTTTTCGGTAAAAATTCAGCTCTTCTTTGGGGCGCAGGAGGTGACGTAAACCAGGCTGAGGACAGCCGGTCAGATAGTCATTTCCTTTTGAGCTGGAAATTCAGCTGCAGGGTATTTTTAGCCAAATTTTCTCCGTGTGAGCATGTGTGTGGGCCCGCACATGCAGTTTCACCCGCCCGCCACTGCAACAGTGAAACCCATCTGGCCAAGCCCACAGCCGAGAGAGGAGCAGAGGTCTCTGAAACGCTCACTCCCTGCAGCCTCGGGAGAGGACGGGGCCACGCCGGAGCTGCTGGCAATGGGCAGGAGAAGCTTCGTGCAGGGCTTATGCTGACGTAGACACTGGTGAATCCAGGCAAGACAAGGGGCATGCTGCGGGGCCACTGCATGGGTTTTGCTGCCCAGGAGGTTTGATGCCTTTCCTCAGGCACCATGCCTGCTCTGCCCCAGCTTGGTGAGCTCTTCCTTGCTGATGGCTGAGTGCTGCAGCCTGCGTCTTCATCCCAGCCATGCTGGGAACCTCACCAAAAACCTCTCTGGGATGGGGGGCTGGGGGTTCCCTTGGAGGCTGGTGGAACAGCTGACAGCAGTCTATGAGGTCTCCTTCCCATGGTTGGCATGGATCCAGTCTGGCACCTGTGAGCTCAGCTTGTGCAAAGCATGGCATAGGGCTTGATCCTAATCCCAAACAAGCAGTATGGCCAGATACTCAGGGTGTAGGACTCAGTGTTCCTTCCAACCTGTCGGTCATCCGGCAGGCTCTGTGTCCTCAGGTCTCCTGCCCATCACACCAGCAGCGTGGGGCCAGGATCCCCAAGGGGACACCGGGCCCTCTCCGTCCCCAGCAGCACCTCGCAGAACCCAGCTGACAGGGAGCTGGGAGATCTCTGCGAACCAGGGAACACATTAAGCACAGACAGGGAAAAACAAAAACAACAACTGAAAATGGAGCAGCAAGAAAACATGAACATTAGAAATCTGGAGAGTATTAGGGCCCACTGACAGATCTTAAAAAAAAGCCAAAATAAAATTCGCTTCAGACTGCTACTTAGGGACTCGTAAAATGGTTTCAGAGAAGTCTATTTTGCAAATCCTATGATAGTTTCAAAATACCACACTTCCTCCAATATGTTTTCCATCTGATTGGTAGCAAATGCAAAAAAAACCCTCATGCTCTGCCTCTGTTTTGATACACTGTCCAGAGAGAGAAAATGAGAGGACAAGGAGGAGCAACTCTAAACATGATTCCACAGTGGTTTTGTCAAATGCACTTGCAGCAGTTCCAGACCCCAGGCAGCTCAGTGTTACTCCTGACACATGAAAAAGGGATGATTGAAGTCTCACTGGTGGGCTTTCTGGGTAATCCAGAGGGATATGTTGCCTGGTTTCAGGCAAGGTTGCCTGGTTTTAGGCAAGGCTACAGAGCTTTGGTTTTTATGTAGCTGTGGCTTAACTAGCATAATATCTTCTCTCTCTAAAGGTGATAATCAGTTTTGCATTCATGCCCTATATCTAAGATTCCTCCAGCATGTCCATTCTGGAGCTTTGAGAATAAAGCTCATTGAAAAAAAAATATGACTGCAACTACTGATGGAGATATAAAGTACCTATTTCTCCAAAATACCAAAAGCGTTAATTTTTCACAAGTATTTTTTTAAAGGCTTGAGTTAGATATGGGACGTAGTGATGGCATAAATGATACAGCCTAATGCAATTTGCCTAGCCTCTGGCATCAGGCTTTCCTTTTACATACGGATACTCTCCTCTTGCTTCCGAGCAGCACCCGTGCAGACGGCGAGAAATAGTTTCTGATATTTATTCAGCAAAACCTGAAGGGGCTGAAGGCTTCATTTGTTGCAGCTGCTCCATATGGCAGGACTCAGAAAGCCCATGAGGTACAGTACAGTCAGCCCCAGGGTGGAAGACAGCAGCTCCCTAACCGCTACTGTATGCTGCCCAGGAGTTAGTACTAACACCCATGAAGGTGCTCTCTTTGAAATGTCTGAGTGAATTTAGGCAACCAGAAAGCATTTCTCCAGGCTGGAGTTGGGCTGAGCTATCGAACACTGGATTCCTCATCTTGCTGAAAGCCTTGCAGCCATTGCTGGCTGAGTGCCTCTCAGCTGGGTAGGAAAAGGTTTGAGTTGAGGCAGAACAGGCAGGGAAGGACACTCAGAAGAGGGCTTACGATTAGCAGAGTTTGAAGGGGCTGTAAGCAGGACCAAATCACCCTCTTTGTCCAGTAGCCAAAGGTTGCTGGCCCCCTCCTTACACCCCTCCCGGACCTTTATCCACCAGCTGCCTCATTAGAGACAGACTTAATGCCATAGGCAGCTCTGCCCCATCCACCTGACTCACTGCGGCAAGCAGCAGCCCCCTTCCCGTCCCAGAGGCCCTCTGAAAGCCCCCTGCTCCATGCCATGCCTCTGCAGTGCTGCAGAGGGGTGAGAAGGGGGTGAGTGAAGAAGTGTCGCCAGCAGCAGCTTCCCACTCTCAGCAGTGACAGGAGCCAACAGGCCCATGCAGACATGTGGGGACGAGAGCCTGGACTAACATGCTGATCCCTGCAGGCACAAGCTTAAGCCTTGGACTGGCATGGGCTCTGGCATTAGGATTTCAGCCCTGAAAGTTGAGGTGCAGCTCTATGTCACTTGTCATCCAGAGAAAAAGCAGTGGCTGGGACATCAGCACCACTCTGCTGCATCCAAAGCACCCCTCAACCCTACATCAATGTGATCCACTTTGGTTAATCCATGTGATCCCATAATCATGGCAGTGCAGCACTGGGATGAGTGCTCAGAGGTGCTGAGGAATTTCCATCCTTGGAAGTTTTCATGACCGTGCCAGATAAAGCCATCGCTGTTTGGATGTAGTGTTGGTGATGATCCTGGTTTGAGCTGAGGTTGAACTAGAGACCTCCAGGGCTCTCCTCCAATCCCCTTTGGTTGTTCTCTGAGGTAACATAAGTCTAAGTGTCCCCTGATGTTCACCTTTTCTCTTACAGCCACCCACATAACCCAGGCTGAAACTCATTCAGTAGCCAAGGGAATTCTAGTTAAACTTCATGGAAACTTTACTGACGACTTCAGAGTCAAGAGTCACCCAAAAGGCACAACAACTTCTTCAGACAAAGTCAGAAAGGTAGACAGACATAAAACCAGTTATTTAAAAAGCGCACACCCTTTTCATAATGTCGGAATAGTTCAGTGAATGCTTAATAAATGTGACGTTTGCCTTTCTCATCAGCAGGGATCACATTGTCATCAAGCATCAGCTTTAAGACAGTTCATGTTGCTGTATTCAGTTGCTTGTTATACATCCAGATTTCAGTGAGCATGAGCTGTAAAAGATGCTCCTTCCTTCATCAACGCATCCCCTTCCGATGGCACAGCACCTCTGCAATTAGCTGCATCGCTCGCTCCCGATGAGAGGAGATGTGAGGGTCCTCGGGAAGAGAGCAGGGCAATGCCTTCATGGCACGTTGAAGAAGAAACAGGACAAGGCTTTCGTGACACGTCACCCACCCCCCTGCAAGCAGGGCAGATGCTATGCAGTCAGGTGACCCCCAAAGGAGAGCTGCCCAAGAGAGCCTGTGTTCCCTCCCTGCCCAGCAGCTTGTCTCCCCAGGCTTTTAGGGACACAGTCCCCTCTGCCTGCTGGGTGCTCTGGCAGTCATTTGTTGTTCCCATTCGGTCCTTGCAGATTCGCTGCCTCTTCAGCTCCTCGGCCAAGAGAAAGGGGACAGCTTGCTCTGACATGTCCACAAATGCTGTCCTTCTCTTTGGACAGCACAGTAAGCATGGCTTCCAAACCAAACAGAGGCTGTGATTATTTAAAGATGGCCCTTGGATTCCACCATCCATTCATCCATCTCAGATATAAAAATAACACATTGTTTTATCTGTGAGTATAAGAATGTTTTTTTCAGAGGAAATAAAGAGAGTAGACAGTTTCCTTCCTGACTCATTCACAAACTACTCTTCCAATCTGCTACACATGGCCATCGGCATGAGGTGTTGCTCCAGTCCCTTTGATCTGCAGCCCTGAGCTCTGAGGGCCACCAGGATGGAGGGAAGGTTTTGTTGGTCACAGTGGCTGTTGTAGGATCTATATTTCTCAGAAAGACAAGCAAGTGGCAAAGCCTAGGGAGAGCCCCACATTTAAGCCCTGATCTTGTCCCTCCAGGCTCCAGGTTGTTCCCCAACATAAGGACATGGAGCTGCTAGAGTGAGTCCAGAGGAGGGCCATGAAGATGATCCGAGGGCTGGAGCACCTCTCCTGTGAAAACAGGCTGAGAGAGTTGGGGCTCTTCAGCCTGGAGAAGAGAAGGCTCTGGGGTGATCTTATTGCAGCCTTCCAGCACTTAAAGGAGACCTACAGGAAAGCTGGAGAGGGACTTTTTACAAGGGCACGTAGTGATAAAACAAGGGGCAATGGCTTTAAATTGAAAGAGGGGAGATTTAGATTACATATAAGGAAGAAATTCTTCACTCTGGGGGTGGTGAGGCACTGGAACAGGTTGCCTAGAGAAGTTGTAGATGCCCCATCCCTGGAAGTGTTCAAGGCCAGGTTGGATGAGGCTTTGGGCAACCTGGTGTAGTGGAGGGTGTCCCTGTCCATGGCAGGGGGGTTGGAACTAGATGATCTTTGTGGTCCCTTCCAACCCTAACCATTCTATGATTCTATGAGAGGCTACCATTCCCTGGAAGATGGACAGACACTCCAGTTCAGCGTAGGAATGAGTGAAATAACCTCCAGTGACGCCCTTCATGCAGTAGGAAGAGTGAGGGTGAAAAGGCATTTTCCCTGATCATAGTAGATAAGACAAACTCTCTCTCTTTTTCTCATTCAGTCTCAAAGCTATAAATTTTAATATGGTAGACTTCATCCCCTGCTTATTTAAGAGCTCCCACGGCAGTCACACAAGAACATTGCCAGTGGTCCCCGAGGACATGTAGCCAGAGAAGAAGCCTTCCTGGTTGCTGTCTTTCCTTTTCGCTGGATCATGGACAAGGAGATATGACTTCTTAGAAGCCATCTGACAGAATGCTTGTGGTTGTAATAAATAGCCAAGCCACAATGGTGTTAAAAATCAATACAATAATGAATTACATTGTCCAGGACTATCAGTTAGTAGGATGACTGGACAGAAAGCATTTAGGCACGAGTTACTCTTTTAGTTATTATAACAGTCATAAAAAACATTGCATTATTCATAAGGAGCTAGGTGGTTTTAACTCCATGATTACACCAGTTAGGCCAGCTCACATATACATATACTTATCCTGACCTTTTAAAGCAACAACATCGTTGTATCGTCAACGATCGACATTGACTGAGACTGCTAATGCACTCATGGAAGAAAATCAATACTGATTTACTAGTTGTAATTGTCTCCTGCTGTAGGACAGTAACCAAATACTCAGTAATATTCAGACATATTTAGCAATTACATGAGAACATCCACGAAGACATAATCCCTGCCTGAGAGACCTGGTGGTAGTCAAATAGTCTTCTATAAAGAGAAACTAAATACATTTAGAACTGTTTACTTAACACATGAGATCAATAAGATAGGTTATGTCAAATTCGATACATACACGGCACTGACTTATATGGCGAAAGTCAATCTCCTCTTATCTCATAATATACGAAACAAAATTCAATTAAACTGAAAAGTCACTGAATAAACCTTATTTCAATGCAATGTAGAATTACTTGATAGAAGTCGCTGCCACAGGTCTGAGGCAAGCTTGGCAGAAGGCAGAATAAGGCTGGACATTTAAATGACTAGCAAAATAACTCAAGTAATGGTCACAGAAATAACTAGATTATACCTACTTCTTACAACTTGTACCTTCAAAAAATGCACGTGTAGCTATGGCTAGGCTAAAATCTAGTCCAATTTGGCAGTTTACTTTACATTGAAAATAAACAAATGAAAATATCCCAGGCCTCTAATTTCTATGGAATCAACCTGAAATGGGAAAATGAGTGGTTAGGAGAGTGCTCCTTTTTCTGTTTTTTGTTTGTTTTGACGATACTAAATTTACATTTGTCTTCTATCCTGACCCGATCTTTGTTGGGTTGAAGCAATTCTTCTTTTTAGGTCAGTGTAAACATGCTCTGGGTTAGCATTTCCTGCTAGGCTTCCTTTCCAACCTGGTACGCTTCCCTTGCTAGGACTTCCTTCAAATTGCTGCCTTCAGAGATCACCGCCTGAGCCTCAAGTCATACCCCCACCCTTCCAGCCTGAGTAAGAACATCACTCTGGCAAGCTTGCTCTTCCCATTTAATGTCATGCTTTACCTTGTACTGTGACATATGCCGCACTCTCCACAGACCCTTTTAAGTTGGTGGCTATACACTGGTAAAGTCCTTCATCCTCCTCTTTTACTCTTTCAATAAACAGCATTCGGCTTCCAGGCCCTAAGATTATTCCTGTGAAATGAAAGATTTTGCAATGAGAGGGAGCCAGGATATAAACAAAAACAGGCCCTTGTGTAATAATATCTTCAAGTTCTTCTCAGAAGAAATCTGAGCCACAGACTGCACAGCACAATGTTATCTGCAGGAAAGCCAAATGTATTTGGATGTTTTGGGAATCTTTTGGAAATCAGTGTTTACAAAGCATTTGTGTGAGTGAAAAAGCTCAGCCTAAGGGAATGATCTTGGGACCACTTGGTATCATGTATATTGATTAGCACTGTGCCTAGACTTTCATCCAAGTGAGTTCTTCAGCATGTCTCCAAGATTTGAAAAACGAGTGGTCTGATTACTTTGCTCTTACAGGCGTAGGTTTGCACCAGAAGCAGCTCAAGTTCAAAGCACTTCCAAGACCCAGCTCCGTGTGTCTGCGCTGATCTTATGGGCAGCAGGCTTACTCCAAATCTCACTTGCCCATATGGCACAGAACAATGGGCCCCTTCTTGGATGGACTCAGTTAGTGCAAAGAGAGGTCCTATGAGGTGTACCCTAAAACATAGGAGTTACCTGAAGTTTTCAACACCTTGTTTATTCCAGATAGGTCAACCCAGAAGCCAGTCTGGCCAATACTCCACCAACTGAGGAAGAGGCAGGCCTCAGGACTGCCTTTAAGGCACTGCATAGCCAGGAAATGTGCAGTCAAGTACACACTTTTGCGTTTGGCTCCATCAGAACTACTGCCTCATCAAAATGTATTCCCACTATCTATTTCAGGCACCTAACTAAAGTGTTCCAACCTGCTCTTTAGAGACATCTTCCTGGCTCCTAACTTTATGTATTGCATTACACTTAAGTTGGACACCTAACACTCATTTTAGAAGATAGCATTAATAATGTATGTTACAATGATGTGGTCACCGTAAATCTTCAAGGAATTTGGGTCTAGATTAAGTTTAGTGTCTGTGCTCCAAGTCTGCACAGGCTTGTAACTCACTTGGAGAAATCCTCAGAGTTTTTCCCAGTTGCCTTTATTCATGCTATAGCAATTCCAAAAAAATGGACAGAACCCTAAACACAAACTTTCTAAAACCTTGTTATTGATTCAAGTTCCTACAGAACAAAGCTCCTTGAACATTTTTGCTGAGCCTGTAACACTAGCTCATTGTATGCTTCTCATCCAAACATGGATGAATTCCCATGTGAAAGATTTTGCCTTTTCCTTCATCATTCATCTCCACTTGAAATCTCCAAGGAACACCTCTGTGACTGTGGTGTCATCATAGCTGGTCATGTAGCCTTAGCTATCTTTGAAGCCACATGCTGAACGCAGCAGTAAATATATCCCAAAGTTTTCCCTGAGCTGCTCATGCCACCTGGGAAACTGTTCCTTTCTGCCACATAAGACCTGGATTCCCTGACAGATGCATTTCAGTTTTGGAGACCCCAGATGCGGAATTAGTCTGGCAGCTAGGCTGTGAACCTAGAACAGACTTTGCATGCCTGACCACAGACCACCCCCCCAGTACTCCTACACACATCAGGCAAGCCTTGTTTTCTCCTGCCTAGCTATATGCTCGCCAAGACACCTGATCCTTAGGGTCCCTCTATAGTAAATGGAGAGAAGTATGTTTCTCTGGAGATGACCCTTCTAAGATGCAAATTGAGAACTGTATTATTTCCACTGACTCCATGGGAGCTTGTTGCGCCTACACCTCCGGCTTGGCTGAGGTTTTAGAGTGAGACAGAATAACCTGGAGCACCCATGCTGCAATAGCAGTAGAAGTAGTCAATAATCCTTCCTTACATCTGGGTACCAATGCCAACCACTCTGCAAATGGCTACCTAAGGCAGATGGGTAAATAAAAAAAGACTGTAAAATGTAAGCGAGTACACGGAGCTCTCACCTGATTCTTGCTGTATTTCCTCATGATTTTTAAACCAGGATATCTGAGGCTCGGGGATGCCACGAACCTGGCACTCCAACATGGCCGAGTTGCTGGTGTTCACTGTCTGATCAGCAAGGTGTCGCAGCAGGGCCGGTGCCTCTTGAGCTACAAGACAAAACAACACCTCTGTTTTACATTCCTGTAACTGTAGGGCTTTAATTATCTTCCCTACTAGCATTTTACTGATGCAAACAGCTATGGCTGTTCTACCAAGTTCATTGCTCACAGATTTTATTTACCATTCCAGTTTGCTTAAGAACATTTGGTGTATACACAGTACTCCTGTTACTCAGCAATAGCAGGCTATGGTGACCAATGAAGACCCAGTGATGACATTGTTCAAAAGATTTCCTCAGTTCCATTACCAACCACATTTGTTTATTGAAAAACAATGAGTTTCTATGAAAGCTGAGAGTTTTGCATCATCAGGAGAAACAAACTGTGGCACCAAAGTTTTTAACAATTAGCAAGACACCTTTGTAGCAGAGCATCTCTGCATCACTGACAGCACCATGCAGCTCTGTACACCATGATACCCATGAATGTGACATTTATAATTTACTTAAAGAGTACAGTTACAAATCATATTCACATCACATCACATATTAGACACATCATCTAAAACCAGAAATCATAAGCACAAAAGCGTTGTATTACATGTCCCAAAGTCTTCATAAATTCTTCCACTTTTGCGTTTTGCATAGTTGGCTGAACACAACAAGGCCTGGCCAAATCACAGCACAGCCCTCCTGCCAAAACTGCGCTGGTGAGAAACGCACCCGCATCCTCTGGCAGCCACGGATGATGGAAATCCTGACGGCAGGGGCCAAAGCTGAGCGCGAGCATAGCGACACCGCTCCTGTTTTACTTTCATCTCCTGACATCCATATGAATGCAATGTAATAAAACCCGTTTCTATGACAGTCAGTGACAACCAGTATTGGAAGCGCGTCTCATCTGTTCTGCTTCTGCTCAAGGGCCTCCCAGAAGGGCATTTCAAAAACACGCTGTAAACATCATGTTAAAGTCATCCCTGAAAGAAGGAAAACAACAAATCTTTTCCTCTTTTCAACCCTCTGCCATTCCTTCCCCCATTTTGCACAGAGCTGAAGGCTGTTCTGACAAAGATCAAGGTATTTGTAATGTTTATACACATTATATGGCAACATCTTTCTGTCACATTTGCAACTTTCACATCATCCTTTTTGGTATTTTGGTCCCTTAAAAGCAGCGATGGAGAATCCAAGGAGCTTCTGAGCAATCTCACCGATGCAGATGCCCTGCGGATACCCTTAAATTCCCCGGTCTTGCAAGAACTGATTATTTGCAATCTTTCCCTTCAAGGACACTGCCAGGATCAGCAGTTACTAACATAGTAAAGCATATATTACAAAATATGAAATAAACCAAAACAAAGCAGAAACCAACTCTTTGCAAATACTTTCTTTTAGACCATAATAGATACCAGTACACCAAGTTCAAGTATAATATCAGCTGTATTTCTGACATTCTGTGTTTGCAAGATTATTCTCTATCATTTCAGAAAAACTATCTGACATTTCCATCTTCATAATCGTTCTTTTACCAGCTGTAAATGAAAACTCTCCACAAAAATTAAGCACCTGTGTACCACCTTATGCAGTGTACAATGAACTCGATAGTACTAAAAGCACTTTTAAAGTAGGCTATCTTTACTATGCTCTTACCCCTTGAAATTAATCCCAGCATAGTCATGACCTTGCAAAGACCAGTTTGGGCTTTTCTGAGCTGCAAGTCTGTAATTTCCACAGGCAATGCTATTTTTTTGTTTGCAGAGTAGTAGACAATTTGTTTTCTCTTCCCAAACAGTAATGCTCATGAGAGAGGCTGTAAATTCTTCATCAGATACCTACACAATGACACGGTCAACAATATTTGCCTTGCAGCCAAGAAGACTGCCCTCTTCTCATTGACACCTCGCCGCGGTTTTTGTACAGTTCTCATTTTTCACAACACAGTCTGTCTATGAACAGGCACCGTTTGACACACATCCACGTACGCACACTGAGAAGAGGTCCCCGTTTCACATTGATCAGTGGTCCCTGACAGACACCCAAGCCCAGACATCCAAAATGAAGGCAGACAAGATGACACAACAAAGGCAAATCACACGTTCTGTGAGTTATTTGTGATTAATTTTAATTTGTTTATAGCCATACACTAAAGATGGGTTTTAATATTAAGAAAAACTTTTTTCTTAAAACTTAGATCCCGTCACCGTTCACATACTTCCAATAATTTCTCTGCTGCAATCAGCTGGTTTTTCAAGGACTAGGTCAACCTGAGGATTATTCTCTTTTGCAAACCACCCATTTTCTACCATTCATTTTTGCAGTGAAGTCAAGGGGGGAAGTTTCCAACACCCTGCGCTCCCCCCGCCCCGAAGCCGAGGGGCTGCCCTGGCTGCCAGCATGCACAGTGCAGGGCTCAGCACCCAGGGCAGCTCCCCTGCCTCGTCCCCAGCCCTCATGCCTGCCCGCAAATGCTGCCATGCCGGGCCAAACTCTGCTCTCAGTGCCCCCAAGGAACTTCATTGCAGGCAGAGTTTGACCCAGGGGAGCGACAGGGAGGGGTCACGAGGGGAGACGAGGACTCTGGAGTCAGAGCACTCATCTGACCCAGGGCAGTAAGGAGCGAGAATTTGCATTTCCAAAAGCAAACAGTGGCAAACAAGGGGGAAATATTACAATTTGTTCATTTAGGGGTTTTCTTTTGCACTCCATCCATTTTTGCCTTTTGTTATGATTATGTTGTCTGTTCACTTGTTTTTATTAATCAGTACAAAAATATAAATACAAGCTTTAATTTTAACACTTAAAAAAAGAAAAAAAAAGATATATAATTCACACCTTTCTCCCTAAATAATATATTACACAACAGAAGGCAGAGAAAATCCCCAAACTGATGAGATTCTCCAGTCATCTGAGGACATCAAAAGTGACATCAGTAGTTTTTATCTGGCCACTAAGAACCGCTTTCCTCAAACATTTCCAGTGAGTTTTGTCTGTGCCTCCCAACACAGGCAGCCACATCGGGATGTTACAACACCCTTGTACAGCATGGCCCTCCGAGCGCTGGTCAAGACCAGGCTGGTAGGACGTTCACTCAGCAGTGACACACATCATTGCATTCCACAACAATTTCACAGAGGAACAGCCTAATCGCCACATCTCTTTTTTTTTGACCCAAACTCATATTGCCTGGCAACTGGCTGCTACCAGTCATTGTGCACCAGCTCCCAAGACCATGGAAAATTCGTAATGTCCTGTCATCACCACCCACCTTGCCATCAAATGTCTTCTCACAAAATAGCCTCATAAAAAGGGGATTCTGTATTGTAATTTTTCTGAAGACTTGCAAATGCTAAAGAGAGGACTTGCCCCATTTTTAAGCAGTCACCAATGTTTTCACTTGCTTTTTAGGCATGTTTTAGGAAAAAAGAGAGCCAGATCCCTTTGCAAGAACGTATTGTTTCTGGAAGCCATCACACTAATAATGAACAAAAGAGCTACTGTATACAAGCAGGCTATAGGTGACATTTCAAGATATAAATGATTATTCTTTTCTTTACTCTGACAACTTCCAGGTTATCAATTGTTTTCTAAGCATTTTAGGCTCCATGAAACTGGCATTATGGGGAAATGCTATTGTTTACCCTTTCACACTTGACAAAAGCAATTCCCACGTGAAAGACAAGTTTAGCCGTGGGACACAGTCTTGATACCTAAAGGAGGAAACAGTCTGGTGAGTTCCCAAGCACAAGAAACTGTCATGTTGTCACCCTCTATTTTAAAAGCACAGCCACTTTGTTCCTTTGCTGTAGCTATTTTGGTCACTACAGTCTGTTTTGTTATGGCTTATGTGAATGCTATATAAATGATCAATCATATATGTAACTAAAAATAATAAAAGCTATGTATTGTAAAAAAATAAAGTTATCAGATCTATTAAAAATAGTAACTTCTCCCTTATACAGAACTTATAACACACAGAAACATCTCATAGCAAAATCACGACCAAAAAAAAAGGAGGAAACGCTCACAAGGAAGTCTTAGGTTGCCCTTAATTCTCCTTCAGCAGTTTGGCTGGTCCTTAATCCCCATAATAAATCCAATTGTCATTTGCATACCAAAAGCAATGAGTATTTTTAATGGCTTCAATTTCGAATTTGTATTTTAAAAAACGTATTAACTCACTGTGCTGGCTGCAACCTTGTCAGTCGTGTTAGTGTAATATTTCTCATTTAATAAAATAATTACAACATTACAAATTCCTGTATCTTCAGGCCACGAGCAATACTCACACTTTTATCAGCAGCTTTTTACATTAGCGCCGAACTGACTTTAAAAATTGACCAACACAGCAACTGGAAATCTACTTGGATTTATTTGGAGAAACATGGTTCACGTCTGTCAGTTTTAAAATCATCATTATTATAAATGATATGATAGGTCTGTGCATTATATCAACACTTTTATTTCTTCCCTGCATACTTCTTTTAGAAGATACTTTTTAAGATTAATGTACTTTAGTGTAGAAAATAATTTCAAATAAATAAGCATTAGAACTTGCTCAGCAGGTAATATTTATAAGTCCATCAAGATCAGATTAAAATAAAAAATATATAGTCCAGTCAATCTCAAACTGAATCGTGCTCATTCCGCACATTCAAGTTAACTTATTAAACGTCCATTGTTGACTGAAAACAGCAGTTTATAAAGTTAATCAGTTTATTCAGCTTTGACACTTTTGATGAGGCCGATATCAAAGTGGAAGAAAAGATTGATCCAAAGTTTTCCTTATCGCTCTGTAGGAGACAGCGAGAGAAAAAATAACAATATGTAAAACGTAGCACAGGGGATCTTCCAAACCCCAGTTTCCACGTGCCTTGTCAAAGCAGAAAACACCCGTCTGAACTCAACTGGAAGCTCACGCGTTATGATTTTGTTTGCTATTCCTCCTACGTCCAACCCATGGGGGAATGTGGACCACCTCAGGGCCTGAAAGGTAGCAACAGTAATAAAAAAATCAAGATGATATGAGACACCTGTTACTGTTTAATGAGTCCTTTAATGTTTTACATTGCTTTGTGTTGTACAATCATTCCTTGTGCTTTTATATTTGAGGATCCGAGAGTAAACAGCCTTTTTGTTGCAGTGCTCACCTCTGATTGTAACGTCTTTCTTTTGAAGCACTTCTTTCCCCGTGTATATGTTCCTTGCTCGGCAGGCATAGGTGCCTGAGTGTGCCAGGGAAACGTTCTTGATGGTCAGAGTGAGGGTGATGGAGTACTCCTTGTTGAGAGACCTTTTTGCTTTCGTTTGATTGTTGACTGTCCTCGGTAAAATCCAAGCAATGTCTTTGTACAGGAATTTGTTGGCCGAACAGGACAATATCAAATTCTCTCCTTCAATGGGCATTTTTTCCAAACTAATATGGAATCCACTCGGTACATCTGTCAAAAATGAAGAACGCTTTTTAGTTTATATGAAATGAATGAGCCAAAATTAACACGACGTATATTTTCCCCTTTATCAGGAAGCCTTTGAACGAATCAATGTCGTCGTCTTCCT